TATTAAAAAGGGAGTTTGTTGTTTTTATTAGCATGTCGTCATGCTGAAAAGTCCACCAATCGCATTTGTTGATATTCGTGACGATATTTGGACGAAAAATTTACAACAGCATTGTTGTTAATGTGGGAGAAATTAGCTGTTGAAGAGCTTACCGGTTTAGGAAACTTGCGGTATTGTTGACAATTATGATAGGAATTTGCTGCAATCGTTGCTGTAAACTCTACCGATTTTGGAGATCAGCAACGTTGGGCCGGCGTTATTGACATCCACGGCTCGTTTCCTGCCGTTTACCCCCGAAAAACCATAATTGAGGAAGTTTGTTCGTCGGCGGTAACAACACTACTTAACAATCTTGTCTAGTATAGTTTGATCCCCCAACAAGCGAAGCTTATTGTTACTTGACAAATAACTTAATTTTATCTTATTTGATTACAATAATTTATTTTTTAACTAATTTTAAGGAATCAGACAATAATAGCTACTTTTTTTGAATTACTTGTGAAGTAATTTGATTTATTATTTATCTCTTTCGATCACTATTATTCGTTAAGGTAATGAAGCTCACGGTAATCGATTAAAAAATATTACGATCCAGGAATCCTGTTGAGATAACTATAGCCACCTTAACCGATCTCTTGAAACTTTGAAGTACCCACCAAATAAAAAACTTCGGCAACTGACACGAAATCAATATTGTCAAACGCTCTTCTGTCAAACAAATTAGAGTACATGTAATTGCTTATTCATTAAATCCATTCGGTCTATGTCATCTAATGACTTTGGTCCGAAGACAAGATAGATTTTAATATAAGAATGCAGTAAACACACAGAAAAAATTGTAGTTATCAGAGCAAAATGCTCACTTTTTTCGTTGATTAATGTGCCAAAGTTCCCGAACCTGGTCTGTTAATTATGCTTATACTAAATCCGTCGATGAATATCTTACAGTATCATAAACAGCTTGTTCGTTTACTTGGGAATTGCCAAAGTAACTTTAAATGATATTTGTTTTGATGGAGCATCTTTGCTCACTTTTTTATAAATGCGTATGTATGTATTGCAAAATACAATTTTCTATTACAAAGATTGGAAATGGTTTAAAGAGAGAGGAATACGAGAGTGGGGAAGAATAAAGATGAAGGGAAAGATTTAGGGTGAAGAGTAAAAGAAAAGTTAAAAGTTTTACGATTACGTGTACTGCTAACCTCAGATACTGTCCAATCAGGGATGAGATTTACCTCATCCAATCGAAACTTGGGGGGAAATTAGTAAATGCCTAATTAACCCCCCCCCCCACCCCCGGGGATAAACCAAATTTACTAAACTGAATTTTTCAAATTTTTTTGTTAATAGCATTGATTTTATTAACACGCGTAATTTATACTCAAATCCGCCCATATGTGTTCCCGGATGGTGCAAATTTATTATTAAGAATTGTTGGGATCCTATTCCGGAAAACAGAACTTTCGACTTTGTCAGACCAATAGGGAGTGGAAACCAAATACTTTGCATTTTCAGTACTACAACGCATTAGAATATCTTATGATAAATGAAAAAAAGTAAAGAGTGTCTTACGCTAGAATGTCAGAAATAGAATGAACTTGATGAAGAGAGGAAAACATTCCTATGAATATGAACAAAAAAACAAAACAGCGAAATGCAATTCACCAGTCGAATCTTTCTACGAACTTGATTTCAACTCCAAATAGTACAGATACTTATTATTTCTAAATAGAAACCATATTAACATTTATATTAATTATATCGAATGTCTAGGCTCTACAAGTGTCAATTTGTACGCTGTTTTATTTATTCTTTATTTTTTCTTACAGCATGTGAATCAAAGAGAATAAAAAAATATCGAGTTACTTGCAAGAAAAACCAGTTTTATGTTGAAACATTGCAATAAAACAAAGAACGCTTCCTTGTTAGAAGAAAATGGTAACTATTTTAATTAAAAATTTTTATTAGTTTTGATTTGTTAAGAATCTGAAAACTTTCGAGGTCATGATCCTGACGGACATCTTGGAATCGATATTAAGTGTGTTCTGAGTTAAAGCACAGCGACCAAAAAGCGGTTTCCTGTTTATCAACTTTGTGTTTACGCATATTTTTTGAAAATCTTAATAATTGCTTGAAGGAAAAGAATATTCCGATACTAATTAAATTTTAGTAAAGGAATAAGAATCTGAAAAATAATATATTGCATAATTAATATGTTCATATACTATTAAGGAGTTATTGATGACTTCGGGGGTTGCAAAAGAGGAGATAGAATATTTGGTTTACCCAAAGATCTTATGTTATGAATCTAACAAACAATGACCAAGAAATACCCATTTGGCATAGAAACTGTCTCGCTTTTTTGATGCACATAATAGCTGCGTTTAAATCACAATTGGTTACATTTCCAAAAATATAGACTATTCGAAGAGTAAGAATCTAAGCAATTGTCACTTTGTGCTTTCACGTATACTAGAAATGTTTCACGCTTACGGGGGGGGGGGTTCTTTCATCCTATCTTCATAACAAAAGCATATTTATTAATGCCATCAACATCTTTTGTGCGGCGGAGTTTTCATACCACGAAAAAGGCTTTTTATCATCTATTTCAGTTCCATAGTAACAGTCACCTAAATAATATTGTCTAATAGCATCTCCTGATTCGCGGCTTTCTTATATCAGTTGGTTCACCATCTCTATTTTTCCAATGCCGTTTGTGCATGTTTGTTTCCCACTTCACTGCATAATAGCTATCTGCCATATAAATATCACCAACTCCATACTCACAGAAATGGCCAAGAGACTATTCTGCTTCGCGATATCTTGTTAAAATAGCTTTCCTGATACCGATTCCAAACTTATATAAAAAGGTCAACATCGACGCATATTTAAAATCACTTGTGCTTGTAAATTCACTGTATTAAATATTTCTTTAAGCCAGAATTCTATTCGTCCGGCTGTTTGTTCATCGCATTCCCATCGATTATTTGCGCTGTCCAAAAGTTCGTCGATGTAATTTGCTCGTTTTGGATGCGACACGGATTCTATGTTTTCGGTCATATTTTTTATTGTATGAACACACATGTGTATTCTAAGTTGCGTTGCCCCATTAATTCAAGAGAATTTTGTGTTTGTATTTTGCTTTGTGAGAGTCTAATTAACGTTACCGTTACATGTACGTAATTCAGAACTTAAATCGTCGATATTGATATTGTATTATCGTTGGTAGTTAATCGTTGCAATTTTTAATAATAACTTTAACGTTAAATACACGACAGCAATATCAGCACCACGAAATAGTACATTCGTAGTACATGTAAAATATTGTAATTAGTCTATTAAAAACTCTTTAAGTAGTGGAGTGCCTTCAATTAAACTGAAAAAAAGTAAATTCACTTCTTGTCAAGGTAACGAACAAATATATATTAAATATTTCTTTTTTGTTGATACGTACATGTATTTAGTTTAGTCAATAAAAGAGCGAAATTTTGAATGGGAAATAATTTTTTATTACGTTAAAGCTAACCGTTTTAAACGGAGAATAATAAATTTTCGAGATTCACGTTTACGAGATAACGTAAAATAGAAAAAATATTTTTATATGGAAAAAGAGCTGAAAGATATTGCACATTTAGTCTTGTATATTGTTTGTCTGGAAAATCTAACTTCTCCGTCAGAAGATAGATTAACGACATTACGATGTTTATAACGATAAGATTTTTATGTTTATAATATTTCAATCGTTAAAATTCTTATGTGTGTGATTGAGTGGTATATATCATATTTGCCAAACAGTGTACGTACGTATCTTTATTATTTTTTAAAGTTCCTACGTATATTTTTCTGTGCATACAAATAACGATGTTGGTTATCGTCATACGTACGTACGTACGTACATGTGCGCATGGATTACATGTATAAAGGATATCGATATTTCCATCGTTATTCCTAACAAAGAAAAATTAGGTAATACGTACATGTAGTTCCGAAAAAGTTGGCACCTATTGGAACTCAGATAGATATCTCTTTGTTTCTTTTCTATTTTTATCGATATTACCGTTACTGTATTCTAAATTCTATTTTGTGACCCCTTTTTTTCTTTTATAAATGAAGCTTCAATAGAATCACCCGACATTTCTAATACGATACGTCAGTGAATTATAAAATAATAATGGGCAGTTGCTGTAGCAAAGAGGTTCCGCCTGAGCATCTTGGACATGTTCCGATAACACCAATGCAACTACCACCACAACCACCGTTACTTAATAACAATCTCAATAACAATAATAATTACAATAATTATATATTAGCAGGATACAGGGGCAGCACTTATTATGGAGGAGATACTGAACCTTTGGCGTCCATACCAGAACAGGAATTGGCGAGTAGAAATAGAACTCAGATGGTCATTGGAATAGATTTTGGAACGACAGAAAGTAAGTGTGTTAAAAACATTGATTATTTCAAATAAATTAATTCTTGTTAATTTGATTTAAATAGGCGGATTTGCATTTTGCCCTCGGCCTCTAAATAGAGGACAAATAAATGTTGATAATATTGAGACTAATTCTGAATGGTAAATATTCATGATTTATTCTATATAAATAAATCAATAATTAAAATTTTTATAGGCCTGGATGGTACGGAAAATTCAAGACTAATACTGCATTAGAGTACGACAATAATTGGAATGTTACAAATTGGGGTTACCCAGCATTATCACAAAAACCGACAAAAAGAGGTGCCAATGAAGCAATGGACAAAAAACCTGTGGAATTGTTCAAGTTACATTTAGGTGATATCCCAGTTGATGAGAGACCTCTGTTGCCAACTGGATTAAGCTATCAGAAAGCAATCACAGATTATCTTCATGAGATGGGAAAAGTAATTATTTATAATTATGTCTCCTTTATTTTTAATGCTATGTTTAATCTTTGAATAAATAATGATTCGTAGATGATCAAAGAAAGATTAGGAAGAAACTGGCCGCGTCTTGATTTCTATAAAGACGTAGAACTAGTAATAACTGTACCCGCGGAATTTATTGAAAACACCAAAGCTACTATGCGAAGATGTGCTTTTGAGGCGGGATTGATAAAGGATCAAGATTCAAAAAATTTAACCTTTACAACAGAACGTAAATTAAAAGAATTCTTTTTCTTCAAGCTTGTTGTTTCTTGAAAATTATTAACATCGGATTTTCATTTAATAGCGGAAGCAGCAGCGTTATATTGTTTGCATTACGCTGATAATTATCGATTAAAAGATTATGGTAAATTTTTTTTAGTAAAAATACGTTTTTTCGCGCAAAATTGTAAATTATATATCAATACTTTTAGAGCCGTACATGATTGTTGACTGTGGAGGTGGTACAGTAGATTTGACAACGCGAACATTGTTGCCAGGAAAAAAAATTAGTGAAGTTACTGTGCGTACAGGTGATTATTGTGGGAGTACTTATGTTGATAAGTAAGTACAAGTAAGCGATATAAATATTTATCTGAGCATAAAAAATAATTATATTCTAAAAAATTGATTATTTTGTGATTAATAGAGAATTCTTAAAGTTCTTGTCGAAGAACATTGGAATGCAAACAGTTCTAAATCTAAAAAATAATCATTATAATCAACTACAATATCTGGTTCAAGATTTCTTTGTGCGACAAATCAAAATATTATTTACGGGTGACCGAAATGATTATAGACCAAAAACTTTAGACATTGAGGAATACTGTCCAGCAGCGTTGCAATATGTCAATCCTCTAATGCGACCAAAGCTAGAGGAAGATCAATGGCAAATTGTTCTTGATTTTGACGCAGTAATATCAATGTTCGAGCCGGTTATTAATTTGATTAACAACTTGATTCAGAAACAGGTCGAGGCAACAGCACCAGCTAAATGTCAAGCGATTTTCTTGTGTGGAGGGTTTGGACAGTCTCCGTATTTGTTAAAGTGTGTGAAAGAGAAATTTGAAACTCCATCAACTGTGGTTTGTGCCCCGCATCAGGCTGTTACTGCTATTGTTCGTGGCGCTGTTTTAGTAAGTCGTTTTTTTATAATTATTATTGTGATTACGTTTATTATTAATGCCTAACTGACTTCGGAATAATTTTACTTCAAATTTCTTAGTATGGTAAGCAGATTTATACATTTAACTGCAGCAGAATTTATATTGTTAATAACAATTATATTCCTTATGATCATTAATATAATAGGCATTAACGAAAGTTCTATAACAACACGAGTACTAAAATGGACATATGGCATAGAATGTTACAGACAATGGGACCACAGAAGAGATACTATCTCGCGTAAGATGCAAAATAATACTGTTAGAGCATTCGATAAATTAGCGACGTGCGGAGAGAACGTAGACGTCAATAAAGAATACAAAAAACAATATTCTACAAGTCATCCTGATCAGACGCGTGTCAACTTTCCTGTATATACTTCAAGCAACGAAAATGAGTTATATTGTGATAATTTGAATCGTTTGGGGGTATTAGTAATTGGTTAGTGTAAATGGATTTTGTTTTATCTTTTTTCTTTGCTATTTATTACTTATATTTGTTTTTTAACTAGATATTCCACGAGATCCTGAAGGTCGAAAGCAAGATATAGAATTTTCTTTATTTTTTGGGCAGATGGAAATTAGAGCGATGGCACGTGTTTTGCGAACAAATCATTTGTGTCATACAACGCTTAATTTCGATCATGATTAAAAGAGTTGATTCAATATTATATAAGTACTTTGTAGAAACACAAACTTTAATTATTTTGAAATACTGACAGTTATTTTGTAAGAAACAATAATCTTTTTTGCTGTTGATCTTATTTAAGTTGCATTTGTTTTTATTACTATTTATTACTTATATCTGGTTGGATATTTATATATTTCTCCGCAAATAGTATCCCTTGATAAAATCCTCCTCGTAATTTGTACCTTCATTGTGCTGTACTGTATTGGAAAGGGTATGGAATATAGGTAAATACATGTACATGTAGCATAGTATAGTATATTTTATTCTAAGTACCTCTTTACATAAACTCCCATTTTAGGATGATATCTAATCTGAGATACAGAGAGAAGTACTTAACCATTCATTTTTGATGTAATATATTTTATTGAAAATACATAATCTCTGAGTTGTAAATTATGTTGATGCTAAAAAAAGAATAAGTTAGCCTTGCCAGTTTTTATATGCTTCAAAAGCTATAATAATTTCTATTTTTGATTTAACAAAGATTTTTTGTGAAGTGAAATAATTATCCTCGCCAAAGTGCTAAGCCACCAACTTTCATAGAGTAATAGTGATTATGTGTCTGTTATATTTCCTAACTTGCTGAAAAAACTCATAACAAATAACTCAGATAATTTTTCTATCAGCACAAAATAATAATAATCAAACAAGAAAAGATATTTTGCTATACTAATAAGATGCTGTATTAATAAAAATTCATCTTTTAAATTCAAAGATTCATAAAAATAAATATACTCCCAATGAATCAAAAGTAATATTAAATTCAGTAAAAAGATTAACAACTAGTGATATCTCTTTTTCTAATACATAGAAAATTTATTTTGTTCATATTTGTGCTCATATTTTTACTTAAATCTTTTATTTCTATATTTGTGAATTTCTTGTAATAACTTTTTTATAGCTAATATCTTTTTTATCATAATGGCTTTTACTTTTTACTTGTTAGAGTTAAATAAATTTATAATTGACCTAGCTTATAAATAACTTGCAATATAGTTCTAAAAAAATTCTCAATGTACAATCATGATCAAAAGTATCTGACTCTTTAATATTATTTAAAATTATATTATGATAACTCATTAAACTTTTCATATATGAAGTATAATATGATACATAATTATTAGTACTTTTATAGATTTTGTGAAACTTTTTTTAAAAAATCTAAATTATTATTGAATTTTTATCTTAAAATTTCTCTTGTTAAATGATATAAAATCACTTTTTTGCATGAATATTGTTATAATTATGTTATAAAATTCATTAATTCCATAATATGTAATATTTTATGAAATTATAAAAATCATGTAAAGAACTTAGAACATTTCACAATTTCTTTATATATTATTAATATTAGAATTCATATACTTTTTTCTATTTCATATTCTATACTTTTTATACTTTTTTACTTTTTCTACTTTGTACTCTTATAATTTTATATTTTTATACCATTTCTATCTTATACTTTTATACTTTTTATACTTTTTATTCTTTTTATACTTTTTATACTTTTATATATTTATACTTTTTATACTTTTTATATTTTTATACTTATTTATTCTGAGTAGATATTGTTAAAAGTTTGTTTACTAATCATTAAATTAGCTTACAAATGAGAACCTGGATTGGGAGAGGGTATAAACTGATAAGGAAAATGTTAAGAGAGAAAAGATATATCTAAGACCTATGCCAATTTCTACAGAAATTGTATTTACTTAAAAAGAAATAATAATATGGAAGAGTTATGGGAGAATAAAGATCAAAGAGGAGAGAGAATAAAAAAATAATAAAGGAGATTTGAAGGGGAATTTTATACTAGTATAAAGCTTTTTAAACTAAAGATAATATAATCAATAATAACAATAACAAAAACTCTTTCACTTTTTTTTTCTCATGAGTGAGGAATATTTGTCAATAATTAAAAATTCAAATAACAAAAGGTAAAAATACTTATAAATTCAATTTCAATAATTTTCAATACAGCGATTTGTTCAGCACAATATAAAGCTCAATAATCCAATAATAGCAATTTGTTTGGCACAATATGATATAAAGCCCAAAGTCAATAATAGCAATTTGCTCAGCGCAATACGATATAAAGTCATCAGTGATTTGATAGGTTCAATACGATATAAGATCACTTATACACAAAATTTGAAGTGTATAAAAAAATATGAGAGGTGAGAAGTATTTGGAAGAAGATTTTTGTTAAGAGAGGTTTTTATTTTCAGTTACAACATGTTTTTCAATTTACAACATGTCGAGTTAAGGCTCAGATAGCATCTCTATTTATACATTTTTCGAAAATACAATTTCAAAATATAGTAACTAATTAAAATAAGTTAATTTAATAAAAGAATAAAACAAATGATGAAAAGTAATTGAAAATAATGAAAAATAATCAAAAATAATGAAAAGTAATTAAAAATGATGAAAAGTAATCAGAAAATGATGAAAAGTAATTAAAAATGATGAAAAGTAAGCAGAAAATAATGAAAAATAATTAAAAATGATGAAAAATAAGCAGAAAATAATGAAAAGTAATCAGAAATGATGAAAAGTAATTAAAAATGATGAAAAGTAATCAGAAAATGATGAAAAGTAATCAGAAATGATGAAAAGTAATTATTTTAGAAGGATTTTTGTTATATGAATATTTTTGAATATTTTGTATTTTTCAATTATTTTTGAAATTAATAATTTTTATGTTACTACTGTAACAATATCAAGAAGAAAATATTATAAGTTCTCTAACTGAAAATAAATGATCAGAATAATTAAAAAAATAACTCAAAAAAATTCTGAAAAGACAAATGAGTAATAGTAAAATATTGAAATAATATCATAAAGTTGAATAACTCTTAGTCAATATTTCAATATAATATCAAAGACAATTATCAGCAATCAAAAAAAAAATTAATAAAGAACTTAAATAATTATCACTATATGATTATTGGAAAAACTTATCAGATATTTTCTTCTAAAGAAGAAATAGATCAGAAGAATTTTGACTTAGAATTAATACTAATAAAAATATATCAAATAAGAAATTGAGAAATCAAGAAATCAAGAACTTTATATAATAATTTCACAAGAGCTTAATCTTTTCAAAGAAGATATAAATATTATAATTATATTATCAAAATCATTAATTCTATAATTTATAATATTTTACAAAATTATGAAATTATGAAAATTATATAAAGAACTTAGAATATTTATAATTTTATTATATATTATTAACTATTATATTTATACACTTTTATTTTATATATTTATACTTTTTATACTTTTTATATTTTTTATACTTTATACCTTTATATATTTATATTTTTTATATTTTTATACTTATTTATTCTGAATAAATATAACTTAACCAACCAAAATTCTTCAAGATTTATACTTATTTTTCTACTTTTTATATTTAGTAAATTGGAATTTTATTTTTAGTTAATATAATTATCTTTTATATTTTTTCTTGTTTTTAATATTATATTTGTATTTTGTAAAAAATGTATAAATATGAATTGTAGTTAAGCTCTAACTTAACATGTCAAAACTTGAAAATAAATAACATAATAAAACAAATATCTTTTAACACTTAAACAATTTGTCTTCTTCTCTTAACTATATATTTCAAATCTTGCAAACAAATAACTTTGAGATTATATTAAGCTGATTAAAATGTTAATATTGAATTATTAAATTAATATTTTGTTATAGATTAGTCTTTTAATATTTTTGTTATAATTTAATTATTTGAAATTTCTCAACTAAAGATATCATAATCTCTTTCTTGTGAGAAGAATGAAGTAAAAGAATCTTTATTATTTTTGTTATTTTGTTATTTTAATTAGTTAGTTAATTTGTTTATCACTTTAATTAAAAATAATTCATAAATTAAGTAGTTAGTACAGTTATTTGGAACACTATATCTAATTGAAATATTATCATTTTATTCTTTTTCTACTTTCAAACTATAATAATTTCAGTAAAAATTGACATAAACTTAGATATTATTTTTATTTTTTCATTCTTATATTTGTTTAATTACTTCTTCTAACTCTTGTTTGTATTTATTAGTTAATTACTCAATTAGTAAAAAATATGTAATAATACTTATCAATATTTTCATTTTGTTAAAGTAATTTAAGTTTATTTTGTTATTATTCAATCTTACAGGAAGTATGAAATTTCAAGACAAAGCAACTATAAATTACAAAAAAATATTAATTTTTTTAATTTTTTTACTAGTAATAAAGAATTAACAAGTAATATTAATTAATAATTAATTCTTTTTTAAATTATTATAATGAAATTTGTAAATAATTAGTATAGATATTATATATCAAATTTATTATTGTAGGTAAAAATCTTTAATAAAAATAAACTTAATTATCCAATCTGAATTAGCTGATTTGGTTCTTTTTCAGGATTAATTTAAAATTACTTGGCTACTTGAGATTGTTAAGATTATATTTTTAAAACAAATTTTTCATATATTTAAAATTTATTATTTTTATAAATATCTTTCAAAATATTAATATTAATTAATAGTGCTTTTTTTACTAAAGTCTTTAACTAAGTTTTTATTTAATTAATTAAGTGCTATTCTTTTAATAATTGGTATCTTTCTGAATCAAAGATTCTAATCACAATCAATTATAACGATTTTTGAGAAAGAACTGTATATAATTATTTTTATTTGTTAATTTTTAAAAACTATATATACATTATTAGTTATATTATAAGATTATTTTGAAGATTATATACATTATCAATTATATTGTAAGATCATTTTGAATAATATATTTAAGAGATAAGATATACTTTAAAATATAATTTAAGATATATTTAAGATATATATATTTAAGACTACAAAATAGAAGTACAAGACAAAGATAAAATATAACAAAATTGATCTAATAAAATATATAATCAATTAGGTTGATTTTTGCAATATTTGTATATATCACGTGATTTATTGGATCGATTTGAATACAAATTAGAGATCATGGGACCTGTAAATTTTTTGCCATTACTAGTCTACTAATAAAAATATACAAGTTTTTGATTAGCTTTGGCAAATAAGACATAAAAAAACAAAAAATGTAAATAATTATCGGTATGGATACTTTGAACAAATGCCATTCCAATATTCTTTGATCGCACACTAAAGTTATAAATGTTAAAAAAGAATGCAAGATAATACCATTTTTAGATACGTAGATTTGCTATGTCAACTATTTTAGATATATGGATAAATTTTTGAAAGTAATTTATCAGATAAACAAATAGCACTTTATTTAACGAAATTTTGACTTTATCACAAAAAATTACACAAATATAAAAAAGTTTCAATTTGTTAAATGGTGTGCATCAGCTAGCAACGTAATAAAGACTTAGCTTTAAGAAATATAATCGACTTTTCCCTATCATATTTATTCTATTTTTTCCATTGTCGTTGTGATTATGGAAAACCAAAAATTGATTTTCAACTTATTCTCAGAAACAGAATCCATACTTTTTTGTAATTTAAACCGAAAGTTTATTTTTTATGTATTAAATATGAATTATTGATAAATCAAAAATCTGGAATGAACCATCTTATTTTCAAAATTCGGACGAAATGAAACAGATACGCATATTAAAAAAATGACAGGACTTTACAGTAAATAAGTCTATTAAAACGATACATAAATAAATTCTGCCTGCAAGGAGGTTCGTTTTTGCATATCGATTCAAGAATAGGGCATTTGAAATTTTATGAATAGCTGCATGATCGACTAAATACGTATATAGAAAATCGCGTATTTTTATGAGAGTGCGAACATGTTGTGTATATGCAAAGAAGTGTTTTTAACAAAACTTTTCTTGAATTAATATCGATAATTTTCAAAAATTTAGATTTGTAAATGAGTACGTTAATTTAATACTCAAAGGTACTTGTTTTTTCTAAATATTTATCTTAACTACCAAGAGCACTGAATTATGTGCAGTAATATCTGGAAAACTCAATTACCTGACTATCGAGGTTTGATCAAGATAATGTTTTTATAATTGAACTGTAGCTTTCTGATCGCCTAATCAAAAAGTTTCTATGATGAATGAGACACACACAGTATAATACATACTAAAAATAGTAATAAAAAATCTATGAATCAGCTAAACTAGTACTATCTGTAACATTTCAAGGAGAAGTGATCATGAGAAACTTTGTTCATACATCTAATATTCATTCATAGAATACTAGATCTGATTACTGTGCAAAATAATAAGATCTAGCCACATGTACAATTAAACTATAACTGTACCAGAAGAATCCAATCCAAATGTGTAACGATACAGTATTGACAATTCAATATGGCGTTCCCTTGGAAAAGGGTTAGGCATGTGTTAGACTATGGGTCTGGGTATAGTTCAATGTTATACAAAGTTTGTTTCTAGTTGGATGAATATGTAAAAAATTATTTACTGTACAACATATCGATTATATTTTTTATAAATTTTTATCCTTAGTCAAAAAGTTTTTTATTTGCACGATATTTACTGCAGTCCTATAACATGAGAAATCTTTATGTGATTTGGCAGATTTCATGCAAAAGATACCTCTTGAGTAATCAACCTACCTATCACATAACAATGAAATTAAAGGTCTATAATATTTTCACACCTCTTATCTGATCAAATTTATCAATATTATTAAGCACATACTGTTTCTTTAAATCAAAAATACATATCTCAGTATTTTGTTGTAGGTAAATTAATGCATGAATTTCGCAAAAGAAAGCAATAAACTCTCACTAAATGTGCCCCTTAGAGACCGAATACAAGCGCTCATTTATAGGGTGCTTATGAATGATGCATTCTAAGAAGTCTCGCTGTATTTAGAATTTTCGGTTTCAGACTTGCATTATCTTTATCAAATTATCTATATTTTTTGCAATTATTCTTTCATTAACCCATTAAAGAATAGAGGTTATTGAGTTCAAAGGAAAAAAAGTTTAGGCTCGTGATGCGTTAACGCGTATTTCTCCCATTTGTTTTTCTAAAAACGTGTACTGAAACAATCGTAGGACAGACAAAGCTATAATGTCCCTCAATGATACGAACTTTCGATAACATATTAAAATTCTCACGTACTTGCTGCAGGGTGAATAAAGCACTATCTGCAAGCAATTCATTTGATAAAAGATTTTAATAAGCGAAAAATATTTTTTGATTATAATTCCAAACATATATATAGAGGTTCTTTTCGTTACTTAAATTTATTCTCACAGCCAGTCATATATATATATATATATATATATATATATAACTCTTACTTTTATTCGAAATTTATTGTGATATCGATATGTTAACCGTTAACCCTTCGATCGATGTAATTTACGACCCTCTGACTGTAAGAATAATGGCTTCAGTATGCATTCATCAGTTGGAAATTGTTTTTGTAAATAAAGAAAACAACCCTCAGTTGTTTTATGATACCGGTAAAAAAATGCCAAATTTCTCATTGTTATATCGTATGGCGTTGGAAATTTCACGTACTCAACACAGTGACCGTTGGACTTGTGACAAAATTGATTGCTTATTTAACGCTTTGAATACACAAGCAAGAGAGAAAGTATCATTCGTATTTCGAGAGACATGGTGTAGACTACCACAACCATTTAAAAACATTTTTAAAAATCTACACATGCAAATACTAGATCAACGTAAGCAATCGAAGAACGATTTTACTATTCTATTTGATCCTCGTGTTGAGAAAATTCAGTTTCAAAACCCCGAGACTGGACTTTTTGACGGTGGTAGCTCTTCTTCGCCAGGCGCAATTTGTTCGATTCCCGATGTTTCTTACTCCCACATAAATTATGATACCAATTCATCTGAGTATGTTATTGAAAATGTTGAGAAAGCTTACGAGATTAAATTCTTATACCCAATTTGGTTTCAAAGAAGCGAGATTGGGCTCTTTGAGGATACGATTTGGTCGATTCCCAATGGTTATGAAATTTTAATAAACGAATCTAACTCCCAAAAAAAATGACAACGTCGATTTGTCTCATTATGCTATTGGACCTGTAATAGTAAATAACGAAAGCTCAGTAGAAAATTGGTGTAATTTATTCGATCCATCGACTGAATATCTAAACTTCAACTAATCGTCTTCAATAGAAATTTAATAACCACAAAAATAAGTAAATTATTTTAATACCGTATGGACATTTTTCAATTTTTTTATTCTATTAATATACAATATTTATTTAATTTTTAATATTTTATATATAATATCTACAATATCGATATCCCGCGAATTTACTCTAGTTTATTGTGAAGATTTTTATAAATAAATTAGCTTGCTCCCTCTCCCTCTTTCGCTCCCTATATCAATATAACTGTTTAACTTATCAGATTTTTCGCCTATTGCTATACGATACGATACGATAGAGACCGTGTAATACGTGTATTCTTATAGTTCTTATATACAACTAAATACAGTATGGATGACCAGATTTCACTTACTCTATTCATGTACTACAGTATGTTTTACAACGTAACCTATCGCTATGCCTAATTCATACCTAGCCTTTTTCCGTACCAGTACTGGCAAAAAGATACTACGTATATGTAAATTGTTCATTGTTTGTATTGGAATTTATCTGTATTATTGTATGTAAGGATTTGAAATAAAAATTTGGCTAATTAGCAATCGAACCATTTGTGCAATTTATATCCATTTTGTGCTTCCGCAATTTAACGTAGACAAAGAGAGTTCATTGTTGTAGAAGAAAAACTAACGCCAATGTTCAAAAAGGGTATGAATCTTTTGAGTGTTATACAACGCAACGATATCGGAATTAATTTTCCTCAATATACTGTGACTCGTTAAACGGAACTGTGTTAAGCCAGAATTTTCCTATTGTGAAGGAATTTCCAATTATAAATCTCTGTACATGTATACAGAGGCTCATTAAAGAAACGGAACACGGAAAAAATAGCAAGATTCGAATATCTCGCCATTGAAGCAAAAGAAAGTGCATTTTATTCTAATCCGATTAAACTACTTGAATTTTTAATTTTTTTAACGTTCCGTCTATTGTGACCGATCTGAAGGACAATATTTAAAGACAAGTTTCTCCTTAAGGAAATATAGCCATTGTTAAAAAAAATTAAACTAAGACCGTTTTATATCCACCCCTTACCTGTATCACATCACTGATCCTTTCGGCATCGAATTGATCAAACTTTCGCAAAAGTTAATTTCGATGCGCTTCCAAGCATTTGTAGCTTTTCCCACAAATCATTTTTATTTAAAAATGGACCAGAAAGATTCCGCAAACAAGTATCGACTTCGTTCCATAAATTTTCGATTAGATTTAGGGACTGGGCGGGCCAATCAAGTAGAGTAATGTCATTGCTTTGCTTCCGTTTAATATGACCGAAACGGATAAAAAATTCAAGCCCATAAAGATAAGTATAAAAGCACTTTTTCCATTTTTTTACAGAACACATTTTCGTTACTGTAAACAATAAATCTAACCATTTTTTTTTATTCCAAATGCATCGCATTTCACCAGAAAAACGCTCCCGGATATACACTCTCCGACAAAGAGGATATTCGGTCCGGGAAATTACATTATCAGAATAGGTGGGATTAGCTTCGGTCCAACACATCTGCAAAAACTGGAAACTTCGAAGATAAACCAAAACCGGTCGTCCACGCATTCTTTCGGATCGTTACGAACGGAAAGTCATCCGATTAATATCAACTGGAAAATGGGCTACCGTCGCCCAAGTTCAAGACGAGCTCCAAACTAAACTGGGAGTCGAAATTTCAATGGAAAGCATATGAGGTATGTTTAGAAGAAATGGTATATTCGCAAGAATTAAGCATAAAAAGCTATTACTTAAAAAAACACAAAAAACTCCGAAATTGGACGGTCGACGACTGGCGGAAAATAATCTGGTCCGACGAAAGCAGGTTCCAATTATCTGGATCTGACGGACGAAAATGGTGCTGGATGAAGCCTGGTGAAAATCAAAAGATCACCATGTTAGTCCAAAAATAAAATTTGGCGGCGGTGCAGTTAACTGCCAGCGGAGTTGGTGAACTCCAAAAAATCGACGACAAAATGAACGCTGATGTCTACGTCAATATACTAATGGGCACAGTTTCCAGCAAGACAACGACCCCGAACATACGTTTAATAAAGCAAAGCAATGATTTCTTGATTGGCCCGCCCAGTCCCTAAATCTAATTGAAAATTTACGGAACGAAGTCGATACTTGTTTGCGGAATTTTTCTGTCCACTTTAAATAAAAACGTTTGTGGGAAAACTACAAATTGCTTGGAAGAGCATCGAAATTGACTTTTGCGAATTCGATGTCAGTGATGTGATACAGGATACATGTATAATGTGTAATGTGGTTTTTTTAACAATGGCTAACGTTAATATTTCCTTAAGGAGAAACTCGCCTTTAGATCGGTCACAATAAACGGAACGTTAAAACAATTAAAAATTCAAGTTAGTTTATTTGGATTAATATTTTTAAGAATAAAATCCACTTTATTTAATACTTCGAATTCGCCATTTTTTCCCGTGTTCCGTTTCTTTAATGAGTCACTGTATCTCAATAAACCAGATTCCTTCTCCTGTTGATGAGATTCACTGCGTATATAGAATCGATTAAAATTTGAGATCGATTAAAATTTAAAATTTGAGAATCAATTTTTAATGATGAAAATCGATTAATAACGATAATGCATAAATTGTGTAAATACATGATAATATAAAAGATGATATCTGACATAAAAAAGAAATTTAAAATATCAAAGGAGCAGAAGTTAATTTATACTGATTAATCTTTTTTCTGCATTACTGCTACCATTTTCAGCTGCAGTTTTATACCACATTTTAGCTTTATTAATATCTTTAGAAACACCAATTCCTCCTTCATAACACCAACCAAGATTATATTGTCCACTAGCATCACCACTCTCTGCCGATTTCAAATACAACTCAAATGCTTTTTTCTCATCTTTTTGTGTTCCGTTGTCCCATCGCGTTTCCACCCTCTGCTGATTTCAAATACCACTCAAATGATTTTTTTTCATCTTTTTGTGTTCCTACACCATTTCGATAACACCAACCAAGATTATATTGTCCAATAGTATCACCACTCTCTGCTGATTTCAAATACCACTCAAATGCTTTTTTCTCATCTTTTTGTGTTCCAATCCCGTTTCGATAACAAAGACCAAGTCTACGTTGTCCCATCGCGTTTCCACCCTCTACTGATTTTAAATACCACTCGAACGCTTTTTTTGTGTTCCGATTGCATTTTGATTGGTATATCCTAGCAAGTATTGAGCTGAAGGATTGTTATCACTTGATAACTCTACATAAATATTCAATGCTAATGCAATATTTTTTTTTAACTATGAATCCTGTTTGAAAAAGGAACCCTGAAAGTAGCTTATGAGCATTAGTTTCAGAGTATTTCTCAATACTAAAAGAATTCTGACTATACGAGTCGTAATATGATTGTAATTCGGCACCTATTTTATCTAAATCTTCTTCTTTCCCGAGTAAATTGCTTAATAGAGTTACCAAATCGTTAATAATTTTTTTTACTAATTCTATTTGAATTTCTTCTTCATCTTCGGGAACTAAATTAACGTCGATATCAGAATTAAAATCCGGTTCTTCTGGAACTAAGACAGACGAAGCGGTTGGCCATTCTATTTCTTTAAGTTGACTGTTTACTTTATAAATATCCGGACGCTTCGTTGGCACGTCATCCCAGCATACTTGATAAAGGTTAACATATTTATCTGGAGTTTCGCAAATTCTTCTTTCTTTTTCTGATGAAGTACTATATCCATATTGACTAGTCGGGGGATAACCACTGGAAATAACCCAAAATAGCACTCCAATGCTAAAAATATCGGATTTTTCGTTTCGTCTAAAATTAGTTATATCTCTTAGAAACGCGGTATCAAGATAACTTATCACGCCCAAATCAGTTTTCGAGTGATATTGATCATTTGAAAGCTTTGAATAACCTAAGTCGGCAATTTTAATTTTTCCATTATGTACGAGTACATTGTTGTGATTCTATTAATGAACAGTTCAATTTAGTATTATAACAATATATTGAATATATCGATGAATAATGCCTGCATCATGTATACACTTTACTCCTTTAGCAAGTTGTTTAGCCAAACTCAATTTGTCATCGCCACTCATTTTATCGAAATTAATGTTTAAATACTCTTTAAGAGTTCCGCCATCAGCATATTTCAAAACAAGCATGTACTTCCCAGAAAACGAGTCTAAAGAACATTTTTTTATTAATAAATTATATTAGACTTTATTAAAAAAAATTAATATGTTTTACCTTGAGTGAGACCGTAAAAGCGAATAATATTTTTATGATGATTAATTTGAATAAGGACTTTCAACTTATATAACGATAATGAACATGGTTAACATTAACGTATTAGATATTTCGAATCTTAAATAAAATTATACCTCTTTAATAAATTGCTTGTTTACTTCTTCATTATATGTTTTATTTTTTACATAAAGGCATTTTAAAGCGACAGTTAAATCTTCATCTTTTAATTCAGCTTTATAAACTTCTCCAAATGCTCCATTTCCAATTACTTTCTTATCAGAAACTTTATTAAACTCAAAAAATTTTATTTGTTTTTCAGACTTAGCGTATACGAAAAAGATGACATTTTGTTTTTGCGTTGCTCGTCGGAAAAAAACGATAACGATATATATAAACAAATGGAAGTTCTATCGCTATGTAACCGCAACGGTAACGCACAAATATAAATTGTGACATTTCAAAGGTTTATTACGTGTACATGTATCGTTGCACAATAACGGGTACCATTACGTAGAAAATAACCTTTAAAATGTAAGTATACAGTATCGGTATTGCTTTTTTGTTTTCAATATAACTTTAGGGTTGGATCGGTCCTGGAAAAATATTAATAATGATCGATGCCTTTTTATTTTTTTATTTACAAAT